TTTACCATTAATAACTTGATTGTGCATGGATCGCAAATCGTTCAACAGTTTTTCTGTTCGCTGATTTCGTTCCACCATAACTGTAACACAAAAAAAAATCATAACATTTATTATATGAATGGAATTCATTTAAATAATTCCTCAATTTGCAGAATTTTTAGATTTTTTTCATTTTTTTCCGAAATTTCTGCATGTTTGTTTCTTTTACTTCACTTTTATTTATTTAGGTTATTTCTTTTGTTATTCGCAGCACAGAGATCACTCACCAACGGCCAGGTTAGAGCTGCCGATATCAGCCTAGCAACAGAGCCAATATTTGATTTTATTAAGCTGGATAGGTATTTGACACAATTTAATATATAACTGGCAAAATATATGATGCAATTTAACACAGTACGTAGGTTAGGAAACTTTTGTGTAGCGCTTAATGCCATAAATCTTAATACAGTATTCGATACAAATATAAACAGAAATAGTAAAAATATTAATGATGATAAATTCAAAAAATAAAAATATATTAAAAAATAATCAAATGAACAGGAATATTTCGGTACACTAAGTATTGTAAATATTTACGAATGATTGGTTGTTTTTTAACGCCAATGATTTTGTGCGAAATTTTGTACACAAATTAAAAAATAAATAATATTTCCTATTTTTTAAAATTTGTAAAACAATTATTTACAATACGATTAGGCAAATATCTGTTTAAGTAAATATATTATAAATTATTATTTTTCAAATTTACAGGCTCTCTCCAGCCTGTAAGATTTTATCATGCATTTCACACCTCCATGCAGGGAAAACATCCACTGTTTCAACAAAAAAAGCCCTTATTTCAAACAAACTCACGCTGTAGTTGTGCGCTTAAACCATCGGAATGCGTCACCAATTTTGAATACTTATCAGCCAGATAAGCATAGTCACTGCGATACTTTTTATGTTGTACAACATATACAATAAAAAATACGACAAACAAAACACCCACAGCAAGGCGCGACCAGAACAATGCCCGCAAGCTCATCCCATCGTAGCTGAAATCCTGAAAGCACAATTAGCATAATTTCTTTAAAATTATAGAAAACTGAAAAATAAAAAAAAACGTCATGAAAGATATGCCAAGAATAAC